GACCTTGCTGTTAATGTTTAATAAGAACAAATCTCAGGCCAAATTCTAACAAATCTATTGACACTTATTAGACAGATAGATTTTGGTAAAAATTCAATCCTTGCCTCTAGTTGGCATCACACAAACAGAAATCCTCTTAAACCAATGCCTGGATGTTGGATCAACCAGAGCTCAAACCACAGGCATCATCCTTAAGGAAAATAGATTTCAGACCCAGTAAATTCATGCACCTGTTCTGGTAATGTTGGAGAATGTAAACAATATTTCAGTCATTCTACATGTCTTGAAACACATATCTAATGACAATCTCTTTCTGTAATTCATCACGCTAATTGACAGGTCTCCAGTTACATCAATAAACATTATTTCTGACATTCAGTATGTCCCTTAGCAAAGAACTGGTTGTTGACAGTGACAGGATTGGGGGGGCTTTTGGTAGCTGCCCCTTTCTGATAGAATGAGGGTTGACCTCCCCTTGACTGTGCACCCTCAATGTTGTGTTGGATAACCAGCCCAGAATTGGATCCTAAACTAATGGGTACATATATTATATCATACTGACTATCCTAAAATCTTTAAAGTGATTTATACTTATCGTAACAATGTTTTCCGTCTTTGTCTTCTCTACAGCCTTAAAGTATTTCATAGAATGAAACTATGATCGTACTTGTTTCTTAAAATTTATCAACGGCTTCCCATTGCTCTTATGATAAAACATCTCCTGAAATAGCCTCATCTGACACCTTTCTATCACCTCTTTCTATCTGACACTTCGTAAAGATATCATGTTTTTATCCAACTTTAGGCGTCTCCATATATCTTCCATTTGCCTGAAAATCTCTTTCCTCCTCCTTCACCTGGCCTACTCATATTCAGCCTTCTAGGGTGAGTTAAATAAATCTCTTCTTTCAAGAAATCTTATTGATGACCATTTCCAGCAAGATTATGTTCCCATATAAGTCTGTGAAACACCCATCACAGCACTAATCACACCAACTGGAACCCCTCGTCTCCACTTGACCTGCTTATGTGCATCATTCATTAGCTGGAATGGGATCACTCTTATCACTCCTAGCACAGTGCCCGCACAAAGTCGTTCTCAAATGATGTAACAGACCTTCTTTTTCATTCCCCATAACATGACCAGTTTTTAGGCTTTCCCTATAGGGTAGTTCATTGCTGGAAAGATTCATGGAACTATTTAGTACTATAAATCAACTTACTTAGGAAAACAGTCACAGGCAAAAGTATACTATTTGTAAGATCTTTTCATTCAAAACATGTGGCATATAATGCACATTGTCCTAATTTGGTGTTTATATAGTTCCTTTTCCAAATTTTATAAAATCCTCTTTCAAATTTATAAGAACACTCCTATTCTTGAGGATCTCTCCAAACCTCAGTTTAGAAAGGCTAAAAATAATTCATTTATGAATGTCAAATACAGTGCTGCACTGCTGTATTACCTATACAACTCCAAGGAACAGCTTGACTTTTTTTCCCCTCTAAGGTCACCGTTATGATTTGGGGTATTTGTATATAGTTTTATTTGTGGTTTCATTATAGCAATTTGTGCCTTTAGAGTACAAAATATTTTAGACTTAAGAGCTATGGAAAAATAGAGATTCATACATTAGATCATTATCAGCTACCTCTCCGTGGTTGGCTGAAAACTTAACAACAGTAGGTTAGCAGGCATTTGAGTATTGATAGTAGAAAAGATTAGGAAAACAGGGGGGACGGTATAGCTAGGTAGAGCACCTGCTTAGCATGCATGAGGTCCAGGGTTCAATCTCCAGTACCTCCATTAAAATAAATTAATTAAACAAACAAACAAATCTAAGTACTTCCCCTCAACTCCTCCACCCCCCAAAAAAGATGAGGAAAACATAAATTATACTTACACAGTTACATGCACTACCTGGCTCCCAGCATCCTTTTGTAGTGAAAAGTTTTTCGCTGCTGAAGTGCTCACCCTCATTTTGTTCAAGATATGAACTGGCTCAACTACAAGACCAGGTCGTGTGACAAATTTGACATCAATGAAATGCACTATAGTGACAGTGGCTTTGGGCTTCACTTCCCTCTGTTCCTGTGAGATCCAGAGCCCAGACACACTGAGGGACCACAATGCCTGGATCTCTGGGCTCTGGATCTCACAGGAACATTTGTGAAATCATTTTTTTAAATAATTACTCACAAAACCCCCCTCCAGACAGCTTGACCCACTTGAGTGCCTGGACTCTCTTCTTCCTTAGGGTGGCTGATTTACCCAATGGCCATTCGGGCTGTTCAGGCTGCCAACTGAAGAGCTTCTTCCCCAACTGGACAAAGAGTACATCTTCATGTTTATCTGTCCTGAAAAGAGAGGTAATGTAACTTAAGGATTATGTGCAAACAGGAATTCTCACCTACCATTAAAAAAAAAAGTTTAAAAATACCATATTATTGCCAAAGAACTATTTTTTTCATTGCTTATGGAAAAACTGGAGACATTGGAAAAAATCAAGTTGATGGAGGCACCCACATTTGGGAGGCAGCCCAGAAGAACAGCATAAGAGGCAGGTCTGAAAACACAGCAGGCAGAGACACAGAAAAGAAAAATCCACAGCACGCGCAGGTGCAGATTTATCCCGCAGACAGTGATGATTACACTTTGGAGCCCTTCTGTCTCCGACCCCTGGGAGTGCAGAGAGTTACTGGAAGTTGTGGAAGGTTCTAGATAGGGAGAGAAACCTGGGAGGCAATCAGGAAGGAACTGTGAAACTAAGTTACTTTGAGAAATCTCAGGTGAAATGGATCCGAATCACCAAAGCTCCAGCAATGGTTCATTCTAAACTGTGACGCTGGAACTTCACTTTGAGTTTGTACTCAAATACTATGAAGTATTTCTAAGAGAAACTTCACCTCAATTTATATTCGTTCCAGGCTTCACAGAATGGAATCTTCCCTGAGCACAGGTAATGACCATATTTCTCTGACAGACAGAAAAGGCTAAAGAACTGTCCTTTTATTTGCTTTGGGCTCCCATGACTAATATTTTCATTTCTAGCTTGGACCTTATGGTCTGGGTTTGGGGGCTACCACTAGGTAAAGTGGCTTTCTCCACTATTTCATTACAACAATTAACAGAAAAGATTAAAAGATTCTGTGAACTTCCTCGGGTTGCGTGAAATGTTCTTTGCTTTTGTTCCCTTGCAATCAGTCCTAACAATGTCATTTTAGAGAAACATAATTATTTTTGCATTTTATTCTTATAATAGATGAGATGTGAAATGAACTTCATGGATGATAAACACCCCAATGGCTACTAAGTTTTACACTGTAGAAACAAGAATTGAGCTGCTGCTACACAAAATTCACAATAAAATTTTAGTGTAGATACTGGATATGAAGATAATAAAGTATCCTGAGTAATGAAGCTCATTAGTCCTAAAATGAGATAGGCCCATCATGTGAATTTATGTACCTGTGAACAAAAAAGGAAATGAGTTTATTTCCACACACAATTAGAGCTATGTGCCAAAGTTTTAACTGTTAAAATAAATTATACCTGGAGAAAAACAAAGTAAGGTGCCATGATTATAGAAACGAAGGGTGTCACAAGTGTAAATAGTTGTATGAAATGTCTTGTGGAATACATAAACAGAGATGTCACTGCATTTTCCAAGTGGTGAAAAATACAAAATAGAGACGAATGAACTTCAAAAGATACAGGGACAAGGATCTGGCATGTTTTAAAAAGAAATTAAAATAAATGTTTATTTGAAAATCGTTCTAAACAAGAAAGGACCTGATGAAGAAAGAAATTAAGGAAGGAAAGAAGGAAAGGAAGGAAGGGGGGGTGGAGAGAGAGAGAGAGAGAGAGAGAGAGAGAGAGAAAGAAAGAAAGAGAAAGAAAGAAAGAAATTCTAGAGTGTTTTATTAGGTGATAGAACTAAGTAGGGAAATAAACTTGAACTCTGCGAAGAGAGCAACAGGGTCTACAGAATACAGTTATCAGAATACTAAGTGGCTTATTTTGTGTAGCCAAGAACAATGTGTATCAGCATTCATATTCCCTTGTCTACATGACCACATTCTTCTTACATCTAAATAAATTCCATTAGATAAAAGCAAAATGCAAATATTATTGCCAATGTTTTAATTTTGTTAGATGTGTCTGCTGAAAGTAGCAAAGAGCACAGTTATTTCTCAAAAGGGCTGCAGATAATCTTCAAGTCCCTGTCTACTACTGGGAAAAGTCTATTTCAAAAAGAAATTCAAAAATGCATTAACTTAAATGTATGTTATAGCATCTTCATATTGTCTGAAGATTTTCACTTGAGTTCTCCTAATTCTCATTTTATAAGAAAATTTGTGCAAGATGAATATACTTATTGTGGATAAGTCATAAGATGTCAGCTATAATCCTCCTTCAGTTGTCCAGTTGGTAACTGAATTATAGTTTCTCTGACACACACCAAAAAAATGCTCACATTGTTCACATCTATCAGGACAGCACACAGCCTGGCGCACAATCTCCAGAGCACTGGGTTTGAAACACACACCAGAAAATGATTATATAGTGGTATCGAATACTCACTTTTAAAATGCCATGTCACTGAAAATTGTTTTCCTAATACCTGAATAAACTATATGAAATCTATCATGTTCCTTAAGGAATCCATGTCATCAATCAGAGTAGCAGGTAAAAAACAGCTTCTAAGTTTGGGTCTTTTTCTAAAGATGATCATTCTTGCCCCAGTGTTATCTCTTAAACATTACTCTGTTTTCTTTCAGTACTTTTTATTTAGTTAGAGGCAGAGGGGAAAAGCAACTTCATCCTGATTTCAAAACAGGAGCAGTTAATTATTTTACTTAATTTGCTCAAAAAACTAACATTTTCCCTTCTTACTTCCACTGGAAACAGGATTCAATATAAACTTGCCTTTATATTGAAATGCAAATAATTCTGCTGTCACGTGTTCACTCAACCACATGCCCACTGTTCCCACAGGAAACAGGTGATATTAAATAGAAGTCAAAGTTTCCCCTCACATGATTTATCTTAACATGAACCAATTCCATACACTAATCTTACATTATTTTTTAAATAAAATTTTATTTTAGAACAGTTTTAAATTTACAGAAAAAAATATAAGATATTGTACCCAGTTTCCCCTACCCTATATCACATTGCATTATATTACATCAGCAAATTAAAATTAATGAACAAATAAATTTCAATACTATATTGTTAACAAAATACATACTTTACTCAAATTTCTATAGTTTTTTTTTTATTGAAGTATAGTTGGTTTACAGTGTGTTCATTTCTGGTGTATAGCTTAGTGATTCAGTTTTACATATACATATATTTCTTTTCACATTCTTTTTCATTACAGGCTATTACAAGATATGAGTATAGTTCCCTGTGCTATACAGTAGGACCTTGTTGTCTATCTATTTTATATATAATAGTTAGTATCTGCAAATCCTGAACTCCCAATTTATCCCTCCCCCAACCTTTCCCCGCTAGTAACCATTAGTTTGTTTACTATGTCTGTGAGTCTCTTTCTGTTTTGTAAATAAGTTATTTGTGTCATTTTTTAAAATATTCCACAATTAAGTGCTGTCATATGGTATTTTTTCTTCCTTGTTCTGGCTTATTTCACTTAGTATGACAATCTCCAGGTTCATCCATGTTGCTGCAAATGGCACTATTTTTTAATGGCTGAGTAGTATTTCATTTTATAAATATAAGACAACTTCTTTATCCAGTCATCTGTTGATGGACATTTAGGCTGCTTCCATGCCTTGGCTATTCTATATAGTGCTGCTATGAACAATGGGGTGCAGGTGTCTTTTTGAATTAGAGTTTTCTCTAGATATATGCCCAGGAGAGGGATTGCTGGATCATATGGTAAGTCTATTTTTATTTTTTTTAAGGAATCCCTATACTGTTTTCCATAATGGTTGCACCAAACTACATTCCCACTAACAGTGTAGATGGTTCATTTTCTCCACATTCTCTCCAGCATTTAACGTTTGTGGATTTTTTTAATGATGGCCATTCTGACTGGGGTAAAGTGATACCTCATCATAGTTTTGATTTGCATTTCTCTGATAATTAGCTATTCTGAACATTTTTTCTTGTGCCTATTGGCCATGTGTATGTCTTCATTGGAGAAATGTTTGTTTAGGTCTTCTGTCCATTTTTGATTGGGCTGTTTGTTTAATTTTTGTTATTGAGTTGTATGAGCTATTTATATATTCTGGAAATTAAGCCTTGGTCAGTCTCATTATTTGCAAATATTTTCTCCTATTCTGTAGGTGTCTTTTTGTTTTGTTTATAGTTTCCTTTGCTGTGCAAAAGCTTGTAAGTTTAATTAGAGCCATTTGTTTATTTTGCTTTAATTTTTATTGCTTGGGTAGATTGTCCTAGAACATTGCTGAGATTTATGTTAGAGAATGTTTTGCTTATGTTTTCTTCTAGGAGGTTTATAATGTCTTGTCTTATATTTAAGTCTGTAAGTTTTTTTTTTTTTTGGTGTTTTTGAGTTTATTTTTGAGAATTTTTGTTGTTGTCATTTACTTTGTCTGTGATGTGAGGGAGTGTTCTAACTTCACTGATTTACATGCAGCTATCAAGCTTTCCCAACACCACTTGCTGAAGAGGATATATTTTTTCTCCATTGTATATTCTTGCCTCCTTTGTCAAATTAATTGAGCATAGGTGTGTCTATAATTGTTGTTGTTGTTTTTTTAACCTACTGTCCTTTTTATCCCCCTGGGATCCTATCCAAGATGCTACATTGCATTCAGTCTTCATGTCTTCTTAGGCTCCTCTTGACTGTGACAGTTTTCAGACTTTTCTTTGTTTTGATGACCTTGACAGTTTTGAAGAAGTCCTACTCAGATATTTTGTATAATGTTCTTCAATTAGGATTTGTCTGATTTTTTTTTTTTTCACAATCAGACAAGGGTTATGGACTTTGAGTAGGAAGATCCCAGGGGTAAAGTACCATTTCTATCACACAATGTCAAAGTTCCATCCTATCAATGTGACTTATCACTGTTGACCTTGATGACTTGGTTAAGGTCTTACATTAATTTTTTCCTTTTTTGATATTCTATTCTTGATTCTATCAATTAGTAGTGTTAATAAGGGCAGTCAAAACTTCTCAGTTAGCTTTGCTTTATTCCTTGAAATCTTAAATGTAATTGATTGTTTCTCAAATATTTGAAGTAACGCTCAAAAGAAATTTTTTGAGCCAAATAAAATCCTTTGAATAATCTGGACACTTGGACAATTTATGATTGTCAGGATAATCCATATTGATTTTTTAAATTGCCATCCATATTGATTTTTTTCTAATTATCTTTGTGTTTGTATACATACATGTTTCCTCTCTATGAAAAGGAAAATGGGTAAAAACATACAACAAAATTTCCAGTTGCATTAAAGGAGTGATTGTTAAATTGTCAGAGGACAATATACAGTTTTTAAGAAATAATAATAATCATGAGGTAGGAAAGAACTTCTTTAAAAAAGCTCTAATTAAGAATCAATAAGTAAAGTAATTGTAAGTTTGGTTCTTTAAATGTTAAAAACTTCTGAAAAACCAAGAAAGTTGCTTTATTAAGAAAGTTAAAATTCAAATGACAGATTGGGAGAGAATATTTGCAGGATGTAAAATACTATAAAAATATTAATAATCAGGTTGTTTTAAATTATTACTACAAATTAAACAGAAAAGGTAAAATCTCAATAGGAAAATGAAAAAAGGATAAATTCAAAGGCATCTAGCAGATGGCAAAACACAAATGACTAATATATATATATAAAAATGATTACTTGTAATATAAAAAAATGCAAATTAAACCAATAATGAGATACTATTTCCACCCTTTGGACCGGCAAATATTTAAATATCAAATGAAGTGAAGTGAAGAAATGATTATTCCAAAACACCCCTTGTGAAAATATAAATAAATACAGCATTTTAACACAACAATTTAGCAATATATACTTACATTTTCAGTGAGCTTACTCTTTAGCTTAGTAATTCCATGCCTTACTATCCAACCTCAACTGCATCTATGTATCACAATCTGTTTAGGAGTATTACCGTAGGAGAATTATCTGTAACAACAGACAATGAGAAACAGCTTAAGTGACAATTAATTAATAAATACACCCATATTTTACAATGATAAGTAGCGGTAAAACAAAAGAATGAAATAGGACTATCTACCACTATAATAAATGAAAAAGGAGAGTTACAAAGTGATGCACAGTGTATATTCCCACTCATGCAGGGGACACACACACACACACACACACACACACAAACACACATACACCCCCATTCTAAGACATACTTATTTTAGTATAAGTCTTACACTAGATGGCAAATCAGAGTTTAACTGAAGATTTTCTTTCTTAGTGGCTCATAAAATAATGGTGTTTTTTACATTTGATATTTTAGATGTCAGGAAATATAGTCTGTATATCTGTATAAACACATACTATTTAAGCACAACAGAAAGACCTGTATAGGTAAATAATTTTTATATTTATTACAGTGAAAAACTTTAAACATTTTGCTGTATCTATAAAAGATAAACTTTGAGGTTTCTTTATTATTTTTTCATTATTTTGAGCTTTTATTTTGATCAATCCCTTCTTTCCCGTTACTGCACTTTCTGTTGTTCTTTTTGTCATTTTTTTATGATCAGTTAGAAGTCCATTTTCTCACATTTTCCTGTGGGTTTTCTCATTTTTTGTGTACACTTTAGGCTATAAATGCAAACAAAAACTTTGTTTTGTATATTTCGATTTGAAGTCTTCTCATTTACATTACTTTTTATATTGCTTGCTAGTTTAATTTTATTTCCTCTATGACTGAATATTATTTATGTCTTTGTTAAGTTTAAATTATGTAAGGTTTCCTCTGTTTTTGTTTTAAAAAGGGTCAATTTTTAATAATGTATTTTATCTCTTAATTGTGGTTATATATAGATAGATAAATTAGATTACATATTAGATACATATAACATCCTTTATTTGGAGTATATAAACATGTTTGCATATTTACTTATATAATATTACATATGTAAATATTTATAATTAAATGTGTTGAATATATTATTTAGTTGCTGTATGTTTTAATCTATTTTTTGCTTTTGACATCTGCCTAATCCTGAAAGATATATAATTAATTTAATTTAATTTTTTAAGTCTTCTTGCATTACTAACAGTTTTTGCTTTGAATCAATTGAGCTGCTATGTAGTTTCATGAACAGAAATTTTTTTTATTGTAATATTTTCTTTTAATTTGGACATTTCATTAAATTCTACTCCTCAGTATTGTTGTTGCCACTAACCTAAAGTTCCATCTTTTGTGGTAATAATATCGCTACTGCCTTTTTGTGCCTTGGCCTGGTCTCCCTTTGACCAGATCTTCATTTTCAGTCTCTTTCAACATGTCATTTGAAGAATGTTTCCTATAAATTGCAAGTAGCTATGAGGTTTTACCCTAACCTTATTGTTCCTGTCTTCTAAACAAATCATTCAGCATGTTCACATTTAGTGTAAGCATTGAAATATTTGATTTTACTATCTTCATCCTGTTTAATTTATGCAATTTATTTTACTTCATTATTTCATTTTTTTCCTATTCTTTGTAGATACTTATAATGTTTTACCCCTTGTTCATTTGGATGTTCTTCGTGTGTAGTTATCTTTCTTTTCCCCAAATTCATGTATTTCCACCATCGGAAGGCTGTTTCTTTGCCACTCAGACTCCTGCCAATAAGATGAAATCCCTAGAATGCGTGTTCCCCACCCTCCTTCCTGTCCCAGCTTTTGCTGATAACTGAGGACTTCAGTTTCAGTTTTTCCCCTTGCAGTATCTCTCTTCTGTTTCAAGCTTTATTTATCTCAACTTCCACATTCACGGTCACTTTATCATTTTCCACTTAGAATTAACTATACAGATTGCAAGATCCATTGCTCACCACCGTTTCCTTTCCACTTCATCTTCTGCTATCAGAGGTCCATGTCTTGATTCATTTGTCTTGTAGAGTCTTTTCTCTAGTACTGTACATACAGGTGGTTCTTGGTGATCTATTTTCAGAACTCTTGCATAGCTTCAAATATCTTTCTTTTCACTGTGATGGATAAAAAATATCTTGGAAGGATATAGAAGATTTATGTTGCAGTTTTTTTTTCTCTCAGTGGTCTATGTGCTACCACAATCTAGAGGATAAGCCCAAAGCCAGCAATCACAATTTTGTGAATCTCTCATATAGAAATAAAAGCAACAAAATGTGAAGAACAGAGTATGTATTAGAATATTTATTGTGGAATTGTTTATGGAGGGAGGGAAGAAGCTGGGAACAAAAACTATACAGAATAATAGAGGCTTTGGTGAAAAATTATATTATATTTATACTATAAAATATTATTCAGAATTTTAAAAATAAAAAAATGAGGCTCCACTGGCTCACTTGGAAAGATTTTAAATATGCATGTGTTAACTTTCAAAAGCTAAAGAAAGAAGTAGCACAACTTTATTTTTTATAATGACAAAAATGTCTGCATATGACTGTGTTTTGTGATTAAATGTTTAAATAAATATACAGATGAGTATGGAAGAATATATACTAGATTATTCATATTGTTTAGGTGGCATGAAGAGAATTTTGAATAAGAAAAGGAAGGATTTACTACATAAATAAAATAAAATAAACAAAGGTGAGATGATAAAAGCAGTATTTGTGAGATGATCATGTATGTGTAAATTTCCAGGTATATGTGTATGTATCAGTAGGTAGATGTCTGCAAGTTTGCACATAAATTTGACAGAAAAGTCACCAAAATGTTCTGTTGGTTGGGATTTCAGGTAACAATTACTCTCTTCCTAATGGTATATCCTGTTAGCTATATACAGTGAGCATTATGCATATAAAATAACTAGTATAGTTTAGCTGATTTCATCTTTGTTAAAAATGAAAGAAAAATTACATCAAATTACAAAAACATCTTTACTTGTATGTTCATTATTATATTTAAAGTATATGAAAGTAACACCTGAGCTCATAGGAAGTATAAAACTGAATTTACATAATGGTCCATCTATCAAGAATATGGTTCTAATGAACAATTTGGAGACTAGAGCGAATAGTCTACATAGTATCACATTCACAAAGTTAGATATTCATCTTTGAGGTTTTATGAATCTATCCATTTTCTAAATATTGCTAATAATAGTTATATTTCACTCCAACAGAAATATTTATCAAAATGTTTTTATAAGCATATTTCTTTGTTTTAAACATATTTCCTTTTAAATATTCTAAAATTACAGCTCTTTCAAATATCCCAGCTAAACTCTCCATAAAGCAGGCTAGAATTCTGTCATTAATATAAATTCAAACAGACTATTAATATTCATGGTTTGTATGTCTTTCTTTTCATTTTCCAGAATCCTGGCTCTTTGCATTCTATAGCTATAAATCTAGCTCCTCCAGGCTGTTCTTGGGTGGCAATATTCTACAATAGTCAGACTGGAGATTGGAGAACAGGAAGGCACTCAGTCTCTCTGGGTTGGAGTAAACAAGAAAAACGAAATAGGATGTGAAGAAGAGAAGTAACAGAAAATCAAATCACAGAGGTCCTTCTAGTTTTCAAGACTTTGGTTTTTGCTTGAATGCAATGAGGAGCCGTCATGGTGTTCTTCATGGAAGAGTGACATGATCTGACATAGAGTTTACTTTCAATGTTTTTTAGGGGGGAGGTAATTTGGTTTATTTACTTATTTATTTTTAGTGGAGGTACTGGGAATTGAACCTGGGGCCTCATTCATGCTAAGCATGTGCTCTATCACTGAGCTATACCCTCCCCCCAACAAGCCAAAGACTCACTACTGTGTGGAGTAGGAACTGTAGGAGGCAAAGACAGAAGCAGAGAGACTCTGGGGCTCTGGCAATAACCCAGGTGGGAGGTGGCGGTGGCTCACATCAGTGCAGGAACAGAGGAGAGAGCAAGATGTGGTTGGGTCCTGGACATGGTCTGAAGGGAGAGCTAAAAGAGATTCCTGACTGAGATGTGAGACAATGAAAGGAGCCGTAGATAAATCCAAGGTTTATGGCTTGAGACACTGAGATGGGAAAACTGTGGAAAAGCAAGTTTGTGGTGGGGAGTGGAGAATCTGGATTTTAGCCTGACATGTTGTGTATGAGACTTTTGAAGTTCATGCACAAGTGTTTTTACAAACTGCTAGACTTCTTAGACACTCTTATCCATTAATGCTAGGTTGGAATCTAGCTTATACCTCGGAAATCACCTGGAAAAATTATTTTCTAGGCAAATTTCACAGTGGCCACTTGATAGTTACTTTCTATTGCTCTTCTGTGGTATCTACTACTTAACCACGATATACATTTATATACCCTATAGTGTCGTGACAGAGCTAGAAAATACTTCATTCTTTCAACATTTTTCTAATTTTTCTAATTTTTCACAGTTGCCTGCAGCAAAAGTCTCACTTTTGTTATGATTAGGCAATACAGTATATAGTTCATCATACCTTCAAATTCTATCAATTTTATCATGCCACTTAGACAAGTTCTAACTCATCGAACTTTCCATCAATATCTTATCTCTTGCTTTATTAAAAGAGTGGCTACCATGACCTGCTCTTCTCTGAAAGCTTTTCCTCTACATATAATTTCTAATATTTTTCCTTTGAAATGCTTTCAGGTTATTTCAAAGAAGAGGCAGTCAGATTCTTGCCGGGGGAAAATCAGCATTTTCTAAACAATCCCAGAAACAATAACATACCTGAAAATAAGGTAGACACTTCCCTTATCCAAAGTGAGCGTGGTGGTTGTGAGAATGACAATTCTGAAGGCTACAGGCAGTGAGGACTTAGGCTCCCTGGAGGCTCCAATTAATCAAGGGCAGTTCTAATACTGTGCTTGACAAAGAGAGATGACTGAGTCTCTTCACAAGAGCCCATAAATTTCAAGGGTAACCACTTCCAGTCAACCCTAAACTTATCGGCATTGAATGACTGACAAGAACAGTGAAAACTCTTCAAACCAAACCAAAGATGATTCCTTTGGATCATGAGAAACTAAGTACCATTTTCTAATTGACTGTGGCTCAAGATATATTCACTATAGCATTGTTATTCTTAGCAATGAAAGGAATAGTAACAGTGTTATTACTTTATATTGGTAGCTACCATTTATTGAGCATGCATTAACTGAGAGAAACTGTAATAAATGTTTTATTTTTATTTCATTTAATCCTAGCACTACTCTATGGGGCAGAAGTTTGATTCCCACATTTTAGAAATGAATAAATGAGGCTAAGAGAAGAAAGTAATGGTAGATCTGGGGCAGAAGGCAGGTCCATTTGATTCTAAACCCAGTGTACTTAAGCCCCATGCAATGCTTGCCACTGTTGATTGAGCTGACGCTGATGATACATAATCCTTGGAAGACAGACAACTATCACTCACACATTACAAATCTGAAAACTTGGTTTTGGTAAAGGTTAACAATTGAGATAGCAAGCTGCAGAACCAGGATTCAAACACAGAATAGTCTGACCCCAGTATTTGTGTTCTTTTCACTATGTTGTGCTGCTAAGTTGCAGCAGACCCTCCAAGATTTTAAGAGTTAATCTTACAAAATAAGTTCATAAGAGGTGTAATAAAATTGTAGCAAAAACCATCTTAGGAAGCAGAGTGGCTCCCAGTTCACAAGCTGGCTACCATGCAGAGTGTTAGTGGTATTAATACATCAAACTCAACTATAAAGCTCCCACGGCAGCCAAATCCTAATGATGGCAGCAGATGCATTGGGTTATGATACGTTGGCACTTTTAATCATGCAACAAGCTCCTCTTGCTCTGGCTCATTGCTTACCAAGCAATATTCTGATTTTAATTTGGCTTCCCATGTGGCTTTCCTATGGCAACACTCATTCCTCTGGTCTCTGCGACAATCATATGCCTCATTTTAATTTAACTACTAGGCAACCTGGTACACTGATCAGTTTTCTTGTGAGTTTGTTAACATAAATCTGGAGTCCATTACTGATTAACCAGCATCAGGAGACGCTCTAGTGATCTGATCCTGAACTACACGGACTTCACCAGGGTAGAGCCATCATGAGAATCACTCTAAAGAGCCCCTCCCCAACCCCCCTGAAGCATACTGCTTGTGAATCTATTACCTCGATATGATCCTAAAACCACAGCAAACACAAGTTAGTAACCTGTTATTGATCGCTGTGGATGTACAGACACGAGTGAGTATATTTCTTTTTTAATTTCTCTAACTGAAATTTGTTTCAGTGTTCTAACACCAGTAAATAAATGTTATATTTGGATTCCCAGAGGTAAGTTTCATCTTTGTTATTCAGAAATAAATATTTATGACGAATGCCTAATAAAATGCATAAGTCACTGCTGTTCTTTACATTAGTTTATTGAGTTAGGTATATTCCCCCACATCATGGTACATGTTTTCTGCTTGGTGATTCGCTATGGCATATATTGCTATTTTTTTCTTATTTAGTTGTGAAAATTGAGGGAGAATAAGCATTCTCTTTGGCTACTATGGCCTTCCTCGCAATAATGCACAACCACAGATGTATTTTTTTCAGGTAGACTAGATTCTAGCACAAGGCAATCCATTTCATCAGGATTGGGTTAATAAGAAATGCAAAAATCCATGCCCACTTGTTTCAAACTGTCAAATATAAAATGATGAACTTTCATCAAGAGAAATATCATTCAGTAACATTATTAGGCAAAATGATTTCACTCTGCACCTGCTGGTGCTTCCTTTATAAACAGGGCCAGTGTTAATTTGATGCTTCACTAAATATTTTGAATAAACTGAAATATTTGCCAACCTCATCTTTCAGAAGCTAATTTATTAATACACTAAATAGTTTTCCCACTAACTAAAGGCATACTTACAGAAAGATGACACTGAATCTGCAACCTGAAAACACCAATTAACTAGAATGTATCTAAGAATACCATCTACTTTCCCAGGTTTGTTTTCTTATTTTCCTAAGTTCTTATTAGAAATAAGATCCTACATATTAGTAGGAAATAGAGCATCAAGTTTCATACTATCCAATGAAGCCATTAGATTTCTGAAATACTGAATGAAATTCTGTAATATGTTCAAGAAAAATATGCTTTTTAGATGATTGAAACTATGCTGAATACTTTATATCAAGTCATCCTATATCACTATAACAGGTGAAGTTTTATCTAGATAAAAATGAGCAAAGAAAAAGATTTGTGTAAGAAAACTTGAATAAAAGAAAAAGCACAATTATCTAAAATCTCTAACCTTCCTC